CTTTTTTTTTTCAAAAAATTTGAAAGATCCTTTGTAAAAACTTAAAACATTTGTTTTATTAAGTCAGTTTTTCCCCCACTGTGGTTCCTCAAAGTGGAACTAACTTCATTAAACTATTTCTGCTGGATAAGCTATGCTAGAGCTTTTATTTTTCTAACCATCAAGGTTTATCTCTTATCTGCTCACCTACACATGTTGGTGCATCCATAACCAGTGCACTGCTTTTTCTTTCCCTCTCTGCTTCATCTTCCTCTTAAGTTGGCGGTCTCGCTTGCAGGTGGGCACCAAATAGCTTCTCCTGTTCTCATTTATGAGTCAACCAACCTGTGAGATCTTTTTAAAACAAACGTCATTTTTTTATTTTTGATAGCATTATTTATTTACAGAATTTTAGAAAATAAATTGTGCAGATCTTTGCTAAAAATTACAATGACAGCCGTGTCACATGGCAGCTCTGTCAGGACCAACACCTGACAGAAAGTTAGAGGCATTACTGGAAATAAACAACGTTGATTGTTCTTGTGATGATCAGTATAACTGGGTGTTCAGACTTTTATTTGAATTGTAGCTTTATTTACAGTTTGAAACTCTTAAAATTAAACTACATTAAAAAAGTGGGGAAACTTGATTAACCACATTTGATCAGGGACATGGATAAMATTTTTATCCCATACCAATATCAAACTTGACAGTTGATTCAAAAACGGCATTAAAATACAAAAAATCACAAAAATCTTGCAATTAATTCTAGTATGAAGGAAGTTTGATTAGGTGAAATCAAGCTCATGATTTCTGCTGCAGTTTGTTCAATTGAGCCTTTATACCTTTGTTATCTATTTTTGCTCATAATTTTTTATGTTYAAGATATTTCTATGAAATTGTAGGAAAGGTTCCACATTTTGTTTTTTATAGGAAGCTTCTTGTATCCTAAAAACAATAAACATTATAAAATGCAATGTAAAATTAGCAGAAAATATATAAAATTATGTTACAAGGCTCATGCTCAAACTGTAACATCAAATCAACTTGATGTGTCTCGGAAGGCCAGGAAATGAAAAACACTTAAAAAAAACCATGTGGACATTTGTTTCATAAACAAAGCTCCTGAACCAATGACAGAGCATGAAATGTGTTAAGTGACGAAGRCGAGTATCAACACACTTTGCTCGTGCTATTCTGTAGTAAAAAAAATGCTTTGTTTCTAATCATAATCAAAATTGGAACAAAAGAAGATAAAATAGTAATTGAAAAACATTATATATGAAACAATATTACAGTTTTATTTAAGCCCAGGAAWATGTAATAGCAACATTTAACAGATGTCTTCGGTTTTTTCAGCAACAAGTTGTTTTTGAAAGGATGTTCCTACATTTAAAGGGCGTATTGTGACACTGTAAGTCTTTCTTGAGAAAAAATTGAACATATATCCATATATATATATATCTCCATCAACATCCAAAAGGGGGTTTGCAGTCATACATAAAGAAATCAATAACTGTGACAAATTTCTATTTCACACATTATACAATATGAAGTGTGGGTTCAGAGTATTGCTCAGGGCTGTAATTTCAGGTGATAAAAGTTGCTGGAGGTATTTTTATGAGACAAAGTCTTTTTTCATGACTATGAACTCCCTCTGCTCTGTCACCACCACAGACCTCAGAGAAGGAGATCATCAGCAAGGAGCAGGGCAGCTGCAAATCTTCAGACGCGTCTGATATCATCCTGTACAAGATCGACGTGCCTGCTAACCGCTACGACTTGCTATGTCTGGAGGGACTGGTCCGTGGACTGCAGGTCTTCAAGAATAAGTGAGTCATCCTGCTCAGTACGGTGGRGATCTTACTGCATGTGCAAAACTCATACCTGCCAACATTTGCTGAGGGCAATGAGGAACGTCTRTACGTCTTAATGAGCGCCAGGGGCTCAGCGTGACCCTAGGACGGTCGAGATGCAATGAAAATAAAATACAGGGCTGATAGTATTCCAGCACTGTGCCGGCTTACCTCCACGGRGAGAAAAAGAAAAAAAATYAGACTTACCGGGCCAACTGTTTAACAGACATTTCTCTGGACCTATCAGAGGACCAGCTTTCACTTTAAACACACTAGACAGGTCTACTAGCCAGTCAGAAATCAGATGGGGGCGGGACTTGGATATCGGCAGAACTTTGATTCAGATCTAGAAGAAGTTGTAGCGGTGCTCAAATTAAAACAAATTTCTTTGTTAGAACAAGTTTGAAAAAGATCTGGAAACAACATTGAAACTGGCAGATTTTTAAAAACCAGCTGTCAGAGAAGAAAAACCAGCGGAAAGATGTTTACTGATTCCTCAACCTGAGAGATGAGCCTCGCAGATGGATGCTAACGTTAGCTGAACAGTAGCAGGCAGGTGGAGCTGGAGAASAGAGGCAGGGACAGTGACCCGGGAAACAACATCCGACCAACAGGTGTGTGTTTACTGAGAGAAACTGAGTCAGGTGTTGTGCTAAAAGTTGATTGTCCGCCACTGTGCAGGAGTGCACAGCCTGTCTCGGTTATAATTGACTGTTTATGTTTCTTTAGTTGGAATTTATCAATATTAACTAGAGATGTGTTGAGTAATGTTTTATTAGATTAAAAATGKTCCAAWCGATTAATTRATAACATGTGCTGAGGCATCACATTGTCAATTTAGACAGCTTTAACCTGTCAGATCCTTCTCCGAGACTCTGAGCTAAAAGTAGAGACTTCAAACTTTAAACCAGTTTTTAAATTGTGTTGTAAGGCCAAGTACAACCGAAGTTATGGTAAAAAGTGTACACCWCACTTTTATTTAAATATAAAAGACGTTCTTGTTTGATGCGCGTCACGTCATGAGCACGAAACACATCCCGTGGAAAGAAAAGCCTCAAAATCCACTGTCAGCTTCATCTTTCTCTAGAGCCAAAAAAATAAAAACCCTCCGATCTTTAATCTGACCAAAGTTATTTGTTAGTTGTTATTAGCAGCAAAGGATCTACAAAACAATGGAGGGGAGAAAAAAAAAATAGAGACGCGAGCAGCTCTCAGTAGGGGTTCTGGTTCTGGAGCACCTGCTTGAGTTGACAACAGTGGTTGTTGTCAGTGTAAAATGTTTTTTTTTGAGGATGTATTTGTTGAAGACACCAGATGATCTTGAATATGTATGGCTATGTGTGGGTATTGGCAGGTCAGAGCTGTTCAAAAACAGGAAATGAGTATTGACAAAAAAAAGATCTCTAGTCTTTGTTGCTGAGAGTATCTCTGTTTGACAGGTTAAGTTTGTGTTTCAGGCGYGAGGCCCCTCGCTACAGACGTGTGAGCCCCATCAGTGGAGAACCTCAGAGGCTGGTCATCACTAAAGAGGTTTGTGGGAAACCATTTTTTTGTTTGTAGCTTTAGAGACTTGTTTTTTTTTTCTCTGACTTACTGATGCCACTGTTTGTTTCTCCTTGTACAGACAGCAGCAGTTAGACCTCATGCTGTAGCAGCCGTGTTGAGGAACATCACTTTCACTCAGGAGAGTTATGACAGTTTCATCGAGCTGCAGGAGAAGCTACATCAGAACATCTGCAGGTTAGTGGAGATCAAACATGAGTTCATGTCGTATCTTCAGATCTTTCTATGTCCTTCTGCTAACGTGTCACTTATCAGTAGCTGCTGGGCGGCAGGTTACTTTAAMTTCTTTCATGTGTCTTTTACATCTGGTGTTAATGTGCATCCTGGCTGATTAGTCACCAGTAGAACAGGTGTGAACACAGTCAGGTCTGCCACATATTATACATTAGTATCTCTTTTCTTTTCTTGCATTTTTCAAAATTATATGACAGTATTTTTCTGCACCATTTGCATACTGGCTGATTACAATAAAGTTATACAAGTCTTTTTTGGCTTTAGACCATTTGAATAATAAAGGTTTTTGTTCTGCTTTGTTTTAGGCAGCATAGACTATTAGTCTKGTCTGTTCATTAAAATAATACAGGATACAATGGTTTTGCTGCAGTTGAGCAGCTAGTGTCTGCAACACAAACATTATTAAGATCACAAGTTAATCATCTTTAAAGGTCTGTGTTTAGGCCGTCCACATGAGACTGCAATGATTAGTGATAAGGATTTTTTCATACTGGAGTCCAGTTATAAAAAAAACACTCTTCAAGGGCTCCTAAACTATTTTTATGTATATGTGAGGCTGAAACAATAAAAAATATTTTGTGTTCTTTAAACACTGTTTCTCTTTGGACTGGGCCTTAAAACTTTAAAACTGATTTTGATTTAAATGTGGCAGCAGCTCCTAAAAACTGCACAATACTAAAGTCTAAAACTGCTGAAAATACTCAACACTGTTTCTGTTTATTATTAAACAAAAAAGGCACAAAATAGAAAGAAAAATATCAAATTAAACTGTATATATAAATTGAATTATCTAATACAGTAAGATTTTACTTAAAAAGAGCTTGTATAGATAAAAAAAATTCAGTTTGATTTAAATGAGGAAAAACAAGCCAAACAACCATTCACGCTCTCACTCACACCTAAGGACACTATAGAGTTGCCAAATAATCTAACATATGTGTTTTTGATTTATTAGAGGAAACTAGGAATGCGCGATATAAACGATATACGGTAGAAACGATATAAATTTGTCCTATGATAGAGGTCTGTTGTCTACTGGCCAACCACGCAATTCTTTTTGATGACGTAACCGGCTGGAGTCAAAACAGAGGAAGTGGGAAGCAGCGTGGCTGAGAGCGCAAATGAAGGGGGAAAAAAACACAACTTATCCGGACCTGGTTCGGGTGTGTGAAAGTGAACGCCGAACTGTTTACATATTTACGTGACGGCTTGTCCTCCGGTCGGCTGCTGACCGACCACACTGCCTGCTGSGGGAGGAGCGCGCGCCGCGGGACATGGCGAGGGGACAGTCAGTGCAGGTGAAGTTAGTGCTCCAGGACTCACAAAAGCTCGCTGAGTGTGGACCCCGATTCTCCTGCAGTCATAGCGCGACACCGCACGGCCGAATGCGCGTGCACTCTGCGGGCACTCCAAAGTGAGACTATAAAACTCAGCCTGTCTCCTTGTACAGTGGAGAAGCGCTGTGGGAAAGGGTGACAGTCAAACTGTCTATCAAAAGAAAAAAGGGCATAAACGGGATGATTGTCACCCTGCCGGAGCGCGCACAGATTAAGCACGTGGAGTGCAGAAAAAATAATCTGCAAAGTGTGTAGAAAGGAATAAATACAAACAATTTGTTTTACCACCTTAAAACAAAGCAGGTTATTCCAAACACAACATCCAATGGATGCAGATATCTATTACATTAAAGTTATTGTGTGTGCGTGAGTGAGTGAGTGAGTGAGTGAGTGAGTGAGTGAGTGAGTGAGTGAGTGAGTGAGTGAGTGAGTGAGT